GTCGCGTGCCCACCGAAACGGCGGCGGCAGCGCCACCATCAGCAGCGTCGGGACGGCGCTCCCACCGCCGCGGATGTCGTTCTGCGTCAGGCTCCCACCAGCCGCCGTCGTCGTCACGGCGAGTGTCGGGCACGCCACCTCGCTCCACCACAGCGTGCCGCTCACCGACGCCGTCGGGGTCCGCGTGGGCGGCAGCGCCACCGTCTCCGTCACCCGCGGGGTCTCCGTCGGCCTGTACGGCGTCGGACTGTAGTGAGCCGTGCTCAGGCTCGGCGTCCATTTTGGTGTCGGGCTGCGCGTCTCCGTCAGCGTCGCCGTGTGGCTCAGCGGCGGCATAGCGGGCGTGCGGTTGCACCCGTCCACGTGCGGCAGGTACACCGGCAGGCAGTCGCGCCCGTACCCGCCCTCAGCACAGCGGCAGCGGCACGACCCAGACATCGCCCTCGTCGCAGCTGCAAAGCAGTGCACGTTGGCATCGCACACGCCACACTCCACGGGGCGGAATTCCCCGATGATGCCGGCGGACCTGTAGTCCATCGGCTGCAGCGCCTGCCCGTTGAGCGTCAGGCACCCCACGACGAACTTTCGGCCGGCGCCCCCAAGAGCTACGGTGCCGTCCATCACGACGGGCCCGCTGCCAGCGTTCTTGTGAAGCGTCAGCGTGCTCTGCACAAGCTCCGCACTGCGCGGGTACGACGGCACCGACAGAAGCCTGCCACCGATGCTGTTGCCGCGCACCGACAGCCACGACCCGAACACGAACGACGCCGACCCCCGCAGCACCAGCAGCCCGCCATCCGTCAGCGCACCGGCGTTGTCGTTCACTACGACGGCGGACGCGTTGGCCGCCACCCCGCTGTCGAACACCAATCCATGCGCGGCGTACACCTGGCTCCCCGACACGCGCAGCACAGCGCCCCCCGACGCAACCACGCGCGCACTCGCGTACAACGCAACTTCGCCACCGAACACAGCCGCGTCCAGCGCAACACCGCCACCAACGAGCTCCAGTCCGGCACCGTCCACCACCGCCGTCCGCCCACCAGTCACCACCGTCACGAGGGCCACGCCGGACACAACCAGCACGGACCGCACAAGACGCAGGCCCGACAGCACAAGCACCGGTGCGTACGGCGAGGACTGCGAGCCGGGAAGATACACAAGCGGCGTTGGCCTCGCGGCAACCAGCAGGGAGTCCGTCACCGTCAGCACAGACCCCGCGGGAAACGTGCCGGTCAGCACAAGCGCACCGTTCAGCGCCTCCACATCGCACACGGACAGCTCCACCGGCCCGCCCTCGTCGCTCCCCGCCGCCATCGCACCGCGCAGCGCTCCTCCGCCCATCACGTACAGCACGGCGCCGTTCAGCAGCGACACGTTCTGCACAACAATCCGCACGCCGTCCCGCGCCATCCACGGCACGTAGAGCACCGGACTCACGCCGTCCAGCACAACGTGGCGCAGCGTCACCTCGCTCGCACCGGCAGGCACAACGAACACCGACCGCAGCGTCACGCCCTCGCGGAGAAAAACACTCGACGTGTTGCCCACAGCGGGCGGCAGCGCGGGAGCTCCCACAGGCACGCACGCCTCGCCGTACCCGCCGCTGCCGCACACGCACACGCACACACCGTTCCTCATGCTCGCAGACGCCGTCCCGGGCGCGTAGCAGTAAGTGTCCCTGTCGCAGTCGTCGCACCCAGCAACGTCGATGCTCCCAGCGTCGCCAAAACCAGCCGCTGCGTACTCCTCCGCCGTCGACAGGACAATTCCACCAGCGTCGTTGCACGCCACCCTCAAATGCGCCCCAGCCGCAAGCGACAGGCTCAGCGACAGCATCCGCGACAGCAGCGCTCGGTTGCGCACAAAGCTCAGCGTGCTCCCAGCAGCGGTCACGGCGCCAGCGGCGTGGAGCATCTCCCTCGAGACGCCGTCGTGCACGTTGCCCTTCGCCAGCAGCATCGACCCACCGGACAGGCCCACCGTCGAATAAAACGCCACCGCGTAGTCCTCCGTCGACGAAAATTCGTTCCGCACAAGCACCACAGCGGAGCCCGACACGCTCACAGCCCCACGCACAGACACCGCGTGCTTGCACAGCAGGAAGTCGCTGTCAACAAACGCCACCACGGATCCGCCGCTGGCCGCAACACCGCCCTCCACCGACACACACAGCCCCAGCGCCGTCTGCACCGACAGCCCGTCCACGTACAGCGCACCGCGCAATGACAGCGCCACGCCGCCAACCACCAACACGCCAACAGCGTCACGAAACACCGCCGCCACATGCGTGCGCGCGATGGTCAGCACGCTCCCCGTCAGATTCACGTTGTGCACCACGAGGCACGCGGAGGCATCGCCAAGGTCGTATTCGCCACGGTACGCAACACGCGCCTCCGCAATCAGCAGCGAGTCCACCACGGTGACGCGCGAGCCCGGCGGAAATCGGTTAGCCACCACCACGCCGCCGCCGGAGCGCGACTCAAGCCCGCTGATCAACACATCGGCACGCTGGCCAGCAGGCGGGTCGGACCGCCACCCGACAACGTACAGGCTCGCTCCGCCCAAAAACGTGCAGTTCGCCAGCGTCACGTTGCGCACGCTCCCTGACATCGACGCCACGTCCACCACGACGTCCGCCGCAAAGGTCACACCAACGTAGCACGCCACCGACGTCCCAAAAACGGCGTTCACCTCCACATCCACACGCACGTCGCGCACGCACAAGTCGGCGCCGTCGGTACTCGGTGGCTCGGGGACAGCAACGGGCAGACACGCAACGCCGTGGCCGCCCTCCGCGCACGTGCAGGCACAGCCATCACTCGACGCCGTCGTCGTGTAAGCGGGGAAACACGACGCCGCAAGGGCGCATGGGTCGCTGCAGGTCAAAATGGTGGCATTGTACACGGACGGGATAATGTATCTCACCCCCTCCTCGCCGTTCACAGTGTTGCACGCAAACAAAATCACTCCGTTCGTGAGATCGCTGGAGCCCGTGGGTATCAGCAGCACGTTCAGCGTGACCGTGCTGGACATGAATTGGTTGCCGGACACAGACACCGTGGAGTCACGGAGATTCACTTTGGGGAGAAGAAAAGCAAAGGCATCCGATGGGGATTCACGGCACAGGTTGCCGCTCAACTGCAGCCAGGAGTTGTAGTAGATTCGGCAACTGGATCTAGAGAACAACACAGCCAAGCTTCCCTGCATGTCATTGCCCTGAAACACAACCGCTGACTGGGACTCCACACGTAAGACCGACAAAAATAACACGAAGCACTTCACCGGCCTCGTCACAGCGTTGCCTCGGATCACCACGGCAGAGTTGTTCAGTACACTCAGTGACGAAGAATGCATAGACCCCTCAAGATATATCAGCGTACCGTTACCGCCAGTCATATGAAACGTGTTGCCCACCACCGCAAACACGGAGTGCCACGACACCCTCAGCGCAGATCTCACAACGTGAATGGCGATTGACGATGCCCTCACGGTCTGAAACACATTGCCACTCAGCACTACCGCGGAGTCGTTGCTGATCGCCAGTCCATTCATCGCAACACACGACGGCCCCCTAAGGACCAAACCAGACCGAGGGACCAGCCTCGTGACCGTGAAGCGGTTCCCGCTAATCGTGATGTTCGTGTGCGGTGGGAACACGCCCTCCGGGCTGAGCAGCGCGTCATAGAATGTATTGCCGGTGACGACGATTTTCAGCGACCCCACAGCGGCGTGCAGGTTGCCCAACAGCAACAGCACGGCGCCGTCCCTCCACGTGCATCCATCGAAAGTGACGTTTGCCACTTCGCCCGTCATCGCCCCAATCAGCACCGTCAGGCTCATGCCGCCACCGCTGAACGTCACGTTGCGGTAGCACAGCCACAACAGCCCGCCGCCCACAGCCTGCGCAACCTCGGGGTATACCATGTCGCTGATGCACTCACCAACCGGCGGCGGTGGCGGTGTGCGTGGCGGTGGCGGTGGGCCAGCAGGCACAGGCGCCGGGACGCACACATCGCCGTGCCCTCCAGCAGCGCACTGGCACTTGCAGTCAACGACCTCCGTCGTCAGCGGAGCAAAGCAGTCGCCGTCCTTCGTGCACTCCCCACACGCAGCAACCGTCGTCACGTTGGTGATGCCGTGGAGCGCCAGCTCTTCCGCCGTCGTCACCTTCCGTCCCGCGACCGTCAGACACCCAGCAACGAACCTGTAGCCGGCGTCAGCCTGCGATAGCAAGGAGACCGACCACCCCGTCGAGCCCATCTTGCAGCCCGTCAGCGTCACCACACTGCTGCTGTCAATGATCAAAAAGGTGGATTCAGTTGCGTAAAAAATCGCACCCCCCCCCCACGTCGTTGTCGCGCCAATCCAGCCAGCTCGACCGCTCAACGGCCCACAATTTTAGTGAATATATGGCATAGGACACGGAACCGCTGTTCCCCACCATGCGCAACACGCTGTGATCCGACACGATGAATCGAGAGTACTGATACACAAAGCTTGTTCCGGAGGCCATTGTATTGTTGAGCAACGCAAAAACAGAGTGATCACGGACACTGAGAATGTTCACGTAGAACAGATGCGTGTACCCATCGAAGCTGCAGTACCGCGTGTACAGCGAGCTGCCACCCATCAGCGACAGCTTCCCGGTCGAGTAAAAAACAAACGCATCACGCTTCGATGCATGCGCCTTGACGTTGCTGACCAACAGCGAGGATGCATTCAATACAACGTTTAGCAGCAGCACTACGCCAAACTTGTTGCTAATAGTATCCGCCAACTTCACCTCAGAGGCCTGCACCGCGTCAACCTCCGTGACGGCGATGTCGCAGTGCAGCGGGAGGGCAAGTGAAAAATAAGCAACGGAGGATTGCATCACCGTCTGGCTCACGCGGATCAG